TCTCCTCTCCCCTCCCCTCTCATCTCTTCTCTCCTCCATGCTTCTCTCATCCATCATATTTGTGGATCCAGAAATCAAATCCCATTCCTCATTAACGCCAAAAGAATGTTCAATTACTGAGATATACACCGACTTTTAATTTGAATTTCCTGTACAAAACGATGTTGGAAAATTCCAAAGACTCAGTGCCTATATCACTGGACTCATCACAGGGTCCTTCACTGAGCTGCAACCAACGCTGGTTCCTTTTGGTCTGGTGCCTGGTAAATGAGGATGAAGGTGAGGATCTAGAAATGATGAAGATAAGTGATCACCCAGTAAACAAGGTGTCCAGCCCACCATCACATTACCAATGAAATAGAGACAGGCTTCTTTGTGGAAGAAGTCTAGGGGAAGGCTGTTCATATCCCTTTGTCAGGTAAATAGAATTGCTGTGGCTCTTTTGCCTGGAACAGCACTTGTGACACATGGAAAAGGTTTTTATCCTTGCAACTGTTTTCTACAAAGGTGTTGTAAGTCTCCTGTAATTTAGCATTTGACAAAACAAGAGTACAGAAACCCCAGTATCCGTCAACAAGAAATCTGTCAGCCTCACTTTCTACTATGGCCTGCTGCTTTATTCCAAATGTGAGGCCTTACAGTTAGATAAGCAGGGTAGCGACACAGAAACAGATATTAAAAATAAAGTCTGCATAAGGAATTGAAATAACAGACAACTATATTCATCCTACACAAAGGCATTTCACTTTTGATATGTAATAAAAGGAATTGTCAAACTTTTCATGAAAAATAAGGAGGGAAAAGCAATTGACTTAGTGAGCAGGAAGGAAGGGTCAGTAAAAACGATTTTATTATACTTATTGATTTCTTTAGGCCCGATGCAATACTATCTGTAAGGTCATGCTATCGCAGGGGCAACTAGAACTCAATCAAAATAGTAAATCACGCTAGGTAATTATGAGTTTATACATTTTCAATCAAAATGATAACAGAAAGTGAAAAGGAATTCCCTCATAACTCTTTTCCTGTTATCAAGGGGCTTACTGAACTAGAAAGCTTCATTCTTAACTGACTACAGCTTAAAATCCAATTCACAGAGAGCTGATCAGCTAAAACATGAACTAAATGTCTTATTTACACAAGATCACAACAATTATGGACTTCAGAAGGCCTTTCTATGTAAATACAGGAAACACACAACCCGTCCAAGATAGACACAGATGATAGTTAAGAAACTAAAATTCAAGATCATTTCGAAGATTTATTAACAAGTCATGTAGGATCAAAAGATCATTGGCATTGCAAACATGTAATATTACTTAATAAGGGACTGCCAGGGTGGGGTTTTAAAAAGTGACATTGTTTTAACTGCATTTCAGAATGACATGCTTCCCAAAAAGTGGTTTGACACAATCACATGGTTTTTTTTTTTTTTTTTGGTTTTTTTTTGTTTGTTTGTTTTTCTGTTAAATTCCTACTTCTTGCACTGGTGGGGTGGGATGGCACAGTGGTAGTGGTATGGCGAGACTGTGTAGTAAATTGCTGATATATGCAATAATTTTAAAAAATCAGCAAAAATAAAATGCTTTTAAAATTAGAAGTGGTAACAGCAACAGAAAAGGAAGGGACTTTTAAAACAGTCTCCAGTGGCCATATATTCTTAGCAATAGATGGGTGCCTGGTATCTACTAAGTGTCTTTCGGTTTATTCCTAGCATGAGTCTAATTATAATCTTATGAGGACTGGAGAATATCCAAAACTATGGACAGTGAAGGTAAGAGTAAGCACATGGCTTTGCCATGTCAGCAAATGTGAGAGCCAGAATCACATCTGGCCTCTCGACACTCAGTTTACGCTTCCATCTTCCTATGTCAGCTCTACCGTGACTGGATAGAACTAACTCAAATGAAGATTTTGGAATGAGAACACCTCCTCATTCTGATATTGCTTAGAAAATTTATATAAAGTACAATTCACCATTTAAAAAAAAATCTCCTCTGCTGCTAGCACTTTTTAATGCAAATGAATTTCAGCCAATTAGGAGAGCTCAGGACAGCTTTTGGAGAGCAGTAGGAAGCAAAGGTTAATTTCTTGTTGGGAAGGAAGACCTTGAAAACAAGACACTCTGCTAGCAAGTGAGGGTGTGCATTTGCAGGGCAACAGGAATTCTATGACTTGTGACTCTGCTTTAGCTGTCTCTCTGAAATAGTAGCCCCTGGAGAATCAGTTCTCTATGGCTCCTTGAGTCCCTGAGAAGTTCAGGACGGTCTGCTCTACTGCCCTTATAGAGTTTTGTAAGCCCTCAAGGCACCGAGTCAATGCTATCCTCGTTAAAAATAGTGTGATGTTTTAAATTTGGAAACTTGAAGGACGGAGCTGTTTTTGCATGTTCTAATACATATTACAGATTCAGCAGATTCAAGTAGGGTGTCTAATGGTTTCAATTCTAGGAAAACAAGAGAAAAATTTAAAAACTGTAAAATAATTATTTTATTATTTAAATGTTTATATTGTAATTTACAGGATTGATATTTGTGTCTATCACCTCCCTGACTAAATATGTGTATGCATGTGTGTGTGTTTGTGTGTGTGTGTGTAAATATGGGTTTAGATATCGTATATAGAGAGATGATATGCATGCATATGCTGGCTGGATGTTGGCTGCCAGCAGGCAGCTATACAGTAAATGTGTAGGAGACTACTGATCCTTTAAATGATAAACACTACAGACACATCCAAACAATTAGATTTTCCAGGTTTGGTGGCATAGAACTATAACCATGGCACTTTGGAAACAGGTAGGAGGCTCATCCACCCAAGTTTATACTCAGCTATATAACAAGCTGCAGGCCAGAATGAG